TATTAGATTTATTTGAAAAAAAAATTAACTAAAAATTTAATACAGTATAGTTTTCAATACGTTTGAATCACAAAGCATAACCAAGAGAAAATTTTTGTAGATTTCAAACAGACCGTAGTGACCTTTAGATTTCAAACATAAAATAAATATAAATTGGATTTTTTCCCATTATGCCATTATTATTATCGTTTATGTACACTTTGGTAAATATTTGAAATTTTCTTAAAAAATTAATTTAAAAAAATTTTATTATGGAAATAAAAATTTGGCGCGTCAGCTTCTTTCAGCTTGCTCCTGCGGCCTGCATGCAATTTGAAATTGAGACCACTGTTGTAAAGCATTAAACTGTCATTTACAATGAATCACTTACTTGGTTAGGTACGGCTCGATATCTAGCGATCAAATTCCGGAACTGTTGAGTACTATTAAGGGTCATATATTGTATGAGAGAACGCAGATTCTTTTCAGGGGTTGATAGCTTGGATATTGGGAATAAGTAACTGTAAAATATAGAACAGTATTTTAACAGTTTGCGATTAATAAAAGACAACAAAAGAGTCTGATTAAATAAATAAATAAAACTATAAAAATTTTTAAATATTCAGATTTCGATTACTTTATATCTGATAAGAGAGATTTATTATACTTCTGAGAACAACTTCCCTTTAATTACTATTCACCACTAAATTCTTTAAACAGCTTACAGTGAATAACCTCGCTTTGCGGAATAGCTGTCGTTGTGTTAAAGAATGCAATAAACATTTTCAAGATGATAGCATCTTATATTTTGATCTCACTATAAATATTAAGTTACTTTAGACTTTATCCATCTACCATATTTGCTTCAATATGATATCCTCTTACATGTTGATCGCATTCTAGTAAGTCATTTTCAACTTTATCTATCTACCATATTTACTTGTAAGATCATTTTGATCGTATTCTAGCTATTAAGTCATTTTCAATATTAATTATCTACCATACTTACTACAGCTATTTTTTTCGATGATCTGAATGAAATTGCCATAAATGACCAATTCTAGTCCATAGATGCAAGGAAGTCGAATTATTTTTCTTCAAAAATTAATTATTACAACTGCGGTGGAGGTGCAGGCATTGCTGCCATATGCCCTGGTTTAGTTTGTACTTAGGAATTAGAGTAAGAATTTTAGTTGAAAATTCCCAGCCTGTGACAATAATTGGCATAAAAATGCTTTAGTGTTTAAACAAGCTCTGTCACTATTTTCATATCCGTGCTTTTTGTTCTGCTCCGTGTTCCAAAGATATTTTACTCAAATAATGATACTTTTGTCATAAATTCAGATCAAAAATAAGATCTTATGAGATATGCTTGCACTGGAACAAATTTTGGTAAAAATTTTGCAGGAATATCTTGCCATTAAATCTCCAAAAGGAAAAACTTGTTCTGATATTCCTAAAACGATTGCCATGAAATTTTCACCAGAACAAAAAGTTTCTTCTATGTGGATTTATTGATTAATGTTCGGGATATATACCTAATTAAAACGTAAAATATGTATTAAAGGAATATATATTGGCATTCTAAGTCATATTTCAGTTTTTTCTGTAAAAAGACACCGAAGAATAGCAGGTTGATTACGCTAATATGCAAGTACCGTGTCATCTAATGGTACTATTTTTAGCTGGCAATAGAACCAAATATTGTTGGAAAATGCTGTTCGGTTCTGTCAGTAGCGATATTTGGCAACATATAGCACAGAATTAGGCCGATGTCCATCATTCTTCGCTAGAGCTGAAGCTTGGTCTCGGATTCCCTATGATTGAGGCATGATGTCTCGATCGATTAAGATAAAAGTCCACTTCTAGCTCAAGCATTGAGGAAGGAAGGCATACCTTTTCCAGTGAGAGAAGTAGCTACAGTTTTATGTTCAAATATAACAATTTGTGAGGGATATATATATTCCCGATGTGTTAAGCTTTGTGAATTTTTAAATATGAAGAATCTGTTCGTTATTAATGAAGACTGTGCTCCTACTTTCTTTTGTACTCAAGGTTCAAGCTATACTGACAGTACGGTTGTGGAAGCTGATCTTCTTGGAGATATTTTACGTTGATGTCAACCAAATTACGAATCCCTCTCTGATCGTAGTACGATTGAGTTTGAACTATCTGTAGCTTCTAATAACACGCTTTATGGCATAGAAAACAGCAAGATAGTCTTCAGCGTAAAGAAAGCTAACTGGAATATGTTTTACTATACATGTAAGCAGTTGATCAATGAGCTGTCGCAGTTTATTGATTGCTGTACGGATAAGCATGCATTAAACACTCGACTAGAAAATTTTGTCTCGATCCTCTATAACGCATCCAAGGCTTCCATGCCTGTAAAAAAGGCCAAGAGTTCACAATGTACCTTGGTCAACTACTGAAATCAAATATATGAGAAAGCAGATTAATACCGCTAGACGTAGGTTTCAACGAAATCGTAATTTCTAATGAATATAAATGAAAGGAATGTTTGGAAAAAAATATAGACGAATAGTATAAAGCAAAATTTTATGAAAAAATTGAAGTCAGTGGAATTAGTCTCCCATATGGTAATTGTAAAAATTCGTTACAGGAACCAATTAATGAGATTCTTAACAGAAGCTTTCCCGTGGAACTATTAGCACAGATAATTCTTTTCATAAAATGATTAGGGCTGAAGCTTTAATATATTATGTTGCTAATCCAGATCCTCCATTCACTATGTCAGAAGTTAATAGTGTTATAGAAAACCTTAAATGCAATAAAGCTGCTAGTCTTGATTCTATTTCAAACGAAATTTTGAAGCAAGTTCATAGAATGTTTCCAAATTTATTCTCCAAAATCTTTAATACTTTTCTGAAGCTTGGTTCATTTCTTCGTTGCTGGAAAAGAGCGAAAATCGTTTTAATGCCTAAGAATATTGGTTCTCACATCCTTAATCGCATTTAGATAATTTGAGATGCATTACTCTTCTTCCCAGTTTAGGAAAATGCCTAGAAAAATTGTTTGTAAATAGAATTACCTGGTCCCTGCATAATAAAAAACTGTTAAACAAAGAACAATTTGGTTTTACCTCTCATAAGAGTTGTGAAGACTTTTTTTGTACTTAAAAGATGTTGTGGATGAAGGTAAGAAGAGAAATTTACATACAGTTTTAGTTTTCCTTGATATAGAAGGTACTTTTAACCACGCCTGGTTGCCTGATATACTTGTCGATTTAAGGAAAGCTGGTATTCCATGTAACATTTTTCGTCTTATTAAAGATTTTCTGGCTATTCCTTGGCCATGTTTCTTCCTCCTGCACTGTGGAAAGAGGCTGCCTCAAGGCTCGATTTCTGGACCCTTACTGCGGAATTTAATAATGAATGATCTACTCAATAAATTCTGTCCGATTTGGAAAACAGTTTCTTTTGCTGAAAATCTACTAATTTGTTTTCAAGAGTTTCCCAATACTCTCTTTAATACGGCTCAGAACACCTTCCGATTGGCCCAGAGAACAGAAATTGGAATTCAATCGTAATAAATTTAACATTGTGATAATTAAAAGAAAGCATGTCAGCTATACAAACCAATAGTTGTACTTGGAGAATACCTTACTTTAAACGGTGAATGAAATTAAATATTTAGGCATTATAATTGATCATACGTTTTGCTGGTAAAATCGTATTATGTATTTATCCAATAAGTGTGAAAATATACTTAGAAGACTTAATCGTGACTCATTTGGTTTAAAATCTAATGTTATTGATATGATTTATAAGCAGGGTATAGGCCCCTTTATTTGCTATGCTTCTAAAGTATGGGAAACAGCTTTAGAAAAGAAAATTAATTCCCGTATCCTTAGCAGAATTTAAAGAAGAATTTTACTAAGAGTTATGCGTGGCTACAGAACAATTAGCTATGTAGCCCGTTTCGCAGTTTCAGGGTTTTCACAGATTGATCTTCATGTTTAAATGACAAAAAGTTTAAAGATACCATCAGCAAATTTATGTTCGATACCAAGGTGTTGTTTGAAGATCTTCCTCACCCTGCCGATCATTTACCAATTCAAACTATTGTTTATGACAATTCCGTTGATGATAATTCCATAGTTGTGCGTTATACAGATGGCAGTAAAATTAGTAATAGAGTTGGGTTAGCTTATGTCGTTTTCCATCATGGTTCTGAATTGGAATACAAACTTTAGAATTTCCAATGAACGCAGTGTTTTCCAATCCGAATTACTATGCATTAGTGAGTCAATTAAATGGATATCTAACATCCGTTCGTTAAGTGCTAAATTTCTTATTGCACTGATTCTCTTTCATCCTCATATTCTCTTATGGATATCTTCTCATGTAATAAATTAATTGTCACTTCTTAAGCCATTCTAAAAGACCTTAATAATAAAGGTGTTGATGTCATCCTTTCTCATATACTTGGCCACACTGGCAATCTAGGAAATGAAAAGGCTGGTTAGTTGGCAAAACAAGCTACAAATCTTCCAGTTAATACTCCAATGGTATTGTCTATGTCAATTTTCAAGGAAAAAGTAGAGATGAAACAATACTCAAGTGGAATGAATTATACAGAAATTCTACTACTGCCTCTCTGACCAAATTATTTTTTCCTTCCATTCCTCACAGACTGAATAATAAAAATTTTTTCTGCAATTTTGAAATTACTAATTTTCTAACTGGGCAGGGTTATTTCAACTCATATGTGAACTTTGGGTTATCTAATACAGACTTGTGTTCCTGAAGCTTCGGGGGAGTGCAAAATGTCGAATATGTGATATTCTATTGTTCAAAGCTAACGGAAGGACGAAAAGAACTCATTTCTAAGTCAAACTTTGTGAACATTGCATTTCTTTCACCTCTTCATGGGATAAAATGGTATTTTTTCCCTGTATATTTTTCTCTTACGTGTCTGTGAATTCGAAAGTTTATTTTATCTCGTGTTGCGTTGTTGTATTTTTTTTTTACTTATCTCTGTAAGCGTTGTGTAATACTATGTGGTGCGCAACGAATTTAAATATCATTAAAAAACTATTTTTATTAGTTTATGTTTCATACTTGGAACGTTTTCAATAAACCGTCAAAAGTTATCTTTGGAGATCATTTTAGTTTCTCCGGTAAATTTCCAAGTTTTCTAATGAAATGTCAATTAAGTATAATAAAGTATATTTCGAATGAGATACCAATTAAGTATAATATATATATTTCGAATGACAGAGCAGTGAAGTACAATAAGCGTAAAATCAATTCGTTCTCAGATATAACTATCTTACTCACCTTCCTTCCGTAAATTGACCTAATCTATATTCAAGATTTGTTGTGAACAGTTCAAGATTGTTCTGAGTTTCGCTTCCTTCAGCAGCCCGTTGCAACATGCGGTTGGCCCGTTCTATGAAATCTTCTATTATCACCTGAAAAGAAATTGTAATCTTAATATAAGGCGACAGAAATTTTCTATGTGCAGATCATTTTGCCCACAAATACTATCATCTATTTGACTTTAGTACTTCGTTTTTCAAAAGCTATTCTTTAATCGGAGTCTAATAATTTTTATAAGAAGTTTGTCAGCAGGGTAACGTTGGACGACACTTGGAGAAATCCAGAATATTCTCCGGAAACTGGACATAAAGAAGACTCCGGGGTAGACGGAGTCACAAACAACATACTTACGAACTTGCCTACTAACTCTGTCATCAAATTTACGTGAATCCTCAATGCTTATCTGACTCTCAACTATTTCTCTAGCTCCTGAAAGTGCGCTAACATTTTCTGCTTCCCAGACCATGAATAAACTTTAGAAAAGTAGAAAATTAACTGCCCATCAGATGGTTGTCTGGCATCAGCAACATATTCAAATATGTTGTACTGAAAAGAATGAAATCGTATCTTAAACTGCTTCCTTCCGACCATTAAAGCTTTCGGAAAGTTCTTTGCAATACGAAGCTACTGGTCAGGTTGACAGAGTTCAGGTGCTGCACTGCATCATAAAAAGTGACAGCACTCCTTATGCTGGAGGTGGTGAAGGCCTTTGACAGCGTATAGCATAAAAGATTCATTTATAAATTAATCAAAATTAAATTAAACAGAAAAATTATTCTTCTCCACGAGTCTTTCTTCTCAGACAGGACTTTCTGTGTCAACCAAGAAGAAACGTATTCCACGATCAAAACAGTACTGGTGTACCCCAAGGTTCTTGGCTTTGGCCCATACTATACCCCTTTTATTATATGTGGGACTTTTACAGAGAAAGGTTAGACTACAACTCAGTAATAACGTATTATACCGATGACATGGCGATAGCAATTCGTTCGATCTGCCCTAACAATGCCATTTGCAAACTTCATGTACATGCATTCGACGACATTGAGTATTAATGCAGAAGATGGATAATCAGTATAAGCACTTCGAACACCAAGCTTCTCCTTGTATATAGAGACGAAATTGTGGCAGATCTTAGGTAAGTTGAGCACTGAGTCACAAAAGCCAATTATCTAGGGGGGGGGTAATTGTAAATCAAAGAGCTACCTGGCCCAACTACATCAGCTATGTCGCAGGTAAGGCCAGTGGCATTACGAACTAACTTCATGTGCTCTTAGGAAATTATTTTAGACTTTCCATCAATACAAAGCGTTACATTTACCTAATCTCATCAGGTCAATACTTTGTTATGTGTCAACTGCCTGGGTTCAGCCTCAGATACAGATTTCCGTAAATAATTCAAAAAACGCAAAATGCTTCGGAAGGGAGCGAAAGCTTATTTCTCTATGAGAAATTAACTAACTCATTGAGATCTAAAAATCGACACAATAAAAGATCATATTAACAAATTTAATGGACTATTTTACAACAAATAACGGGATTGTAATGAAGGCAACTTCTCTGATGGTCGCCTATATCAGATTAATCCTGCAGATTAATTCTTGTGCCCTTTGCGACACATCTTCTCAAAGAGCACTTCTTCATAACCTAATTGTATTCACCTTTTTTATGTAAATAATTTTATTTCTTTTTGCATCTGTGTTATTCTAATTTCTTTGTAATGTTGCATATTATTTTGTATTTAACTTTATCTTTTTTCTCTATTATATATTTTCTAAGCAAGTTCTCAAAACTAAATCAAAATGAAATGAGGCAGAAAAATTATTCTTCGCTACGAATCGTGACAGGACAGGACTTTCTGTGTCAGCAGTCCTCGCCAAACGTTTCCATTCCATTCATAGAGCGTGGTATGCATCAACTCATGTTATTATCTCCTAATTACTCAACTTATTTCCACCAAACAAAGTTTTTGTCTCGGTAAATTTAACTTTTTGTTCATTCAAATTAAGTACCTCCAAAGGCTTATTTAATTAGCTTATTACGGCTCACAAGGCCAAATAAGTATATCCATAACGTATCAAGTATCAATGTATCATATACTGCAGATCAGAAATTGAAAATTTATTAATTATTAATGCTATGCAAAATGTTGCGAAATTAATTAAATAATTATCACATAAATAACACAAAAATTAAATGTCTTTCTATAGCTGTAAATTTACTAGCCAGGAGAGAAATGAAAAAGTATTTAAAAAATCAAAATTAAAACAAAAGTAAATTTATATAACAAAATTCATACAATATAAAATAATAATTGAAAAATCTTTCATCTTTTTTCAAGGAGCAGCCCAAAAAAAAATTTCAACATAGCCGTGTTTCATGACAACTTGCTTTTCAGAATGCACAAATACCAAGCGTTATCAGTATTTTAAACAAGAATGTGGCTTAAATAATTATGCAAAACGCGATTCACTTACCTCGCAGGACAGCATGGAACTCGATGCGGTCTCCAAGACTACCACCACTTTTTATCCAAACTGTATTAACTGGATAGAACGCGAACAGTTTACCCAAGACAAGGAAACTCTTCATGCATGGGTTGAATTAATTTCCTGTTGCATTTGTGCTACTTGCGTGTATTTTATATTTACATAACCTTTAAGTCTGAACTAATATGTATTACGGAAATCAAAAGGAAGCTAACACAACATTAAACTGAAACACAGCTGTTAGTAGAGCTTAGAATAAATATTCCCAATAAGATTTTTATGCTCACTTTCAGTTTGCTATATAACATCGGCTCCACATTGTTTCCCTAAGAGATGTTTGGTGGAAGCAATAATCTGTAACCTCCACCATTTTTGATGAGATTTCAGATTTCTTCAGCAATGCTAATGATGTTTGTTGCATTGCTAATTAATTTGATGTTACCTAAATCTGTGCTAGTTCTGAATAGATAAACTCAAAAAGTAGATTGCCTTAAAGGTACAAGGAATTGTTTGCATTCTTTTGTTGTTGTGACTATTCTATTCGCTTTTTCAATCTTCACCTTTCTTATTTATTATGCATCGTGAGTTGTTGAAGTGAATGGAATCATGATACACGGAATTATTTGAATATATTCTGTAACAAATGAAAACTACAAAAAATTCCTTACCTTCATCTTCTCAATAGATTCCAAACTGTAGCTGCCGAGCTTGTTATCATATCTTTGATCCCCAAGTGCAGTTGCATAATCAGGATTCATCATCAGAAAAATTTGCCAATACTCTTCAAACATGGAGTTGGCTGCTTCTTCAATTTGTGAAGAGTCCGATGAGTTGCAAGCTGCCTTTGCTATTCCTTTAATAGGATCATTGTTGGATAGGGATTCTGAATTTCCTTGATTCTAGAATTTTAAATTTCAATTTAAGTACCCAAAATTGGAACGAAAAAATGAGTGTTAAAGAGAATGGAACTTATGGGCGTCTAGCAAGCAGAAGGTACTATAAGCCCAAGGTCATATTACATTTTATTAAAAAAGCTCAAAAAAACCTGTGCTCATTAATTGTTAAAATACAGATTCATCAGAGTTGCCACTTCATTAACACAAGTTTGGTAATGGCAGGATCATTGTGATGTTAAGCAGGGCAGATCGTTTCTTCTAAGTGCTGCAAGTTATTAATCTTCTCTGTTTAAATCAGGGGTGCCCAACACGGGATCTACTAGCCACATTTAGCCCCCCCTCAACAATGGATAAGTTGTATTTACTGATACGGACCACATGTCCACTGATGTGGCCCTCATCGGATTGATTTTTTTTATATACACATTTATTGTTTGTAAGAAAATGAAACAAGGGAATAAGGATTTGAATTTTAAAATGAAAACTAGTTGAATACTTTTTAATGGATGGATCTGCTATTTAAACTGACTGATTACCTTTGATATTTATTACCATTTAGTAAATAGGTTTGTTACACAACCGGTGGCTAATTTTTGTGAATGAGACTAAAGACCTGAATAAGAGACATTTAAATAAAAGGCGTTTCAAAGAATGAAAACATTTTGTAGTACTCATATCAACAGCAACAAACGCAATTCATATTGGAACTCTTTCGAGACAAAGCCATGAAAACAACAACAATTATGCAATACCATTTTACAATACATTGATAATAAATATGTATTGCAAGGTTTCAGGAAGTACCAATCGCATTTCAGGGTATTTGCATATCAGTATACAGAGACGAATTCGGATGCGAATTTATAAAAAGAAAATTTTTGTAAGTTTGTTGAGTCATTAGGTTATATCGATCTTGGAAGGTGAAAAATGCGCAGTGCCCTCGTCAGGATTCAAACTCCGGACCTTCTGAATTCTTCTGAATACGCGTCGAGTGCGCTTCAAATTACGCCACGAAAGCATACGGAAAGGAAGGAGAAAATAACATATATGTTCCCTCCTTTCAAGGCCGACGGAGATGAGGGAACCCAATTGCCAAATCCTGATGGTGACGAATTATCGTCCACCATTTTTTCGGGTGCCACTGTAGAGATTTTTTTAAGGAGGAAACGTGAAAACTGTGCATTTCCGTTGCCGGGACTCGAACCCTGGACCTGCCGAGTATGCTTTCAATTACACCACGAAGGCATCGGAGAGAAAGGTGAAAATACCTTATAAGTTGTACTTACCGAAAGAAATGATGTGTTGCTCTGAAAGTATGTATGTTTGCTGGCTACTTATTTCTTCATATGATGTACGCGCATGTTAAACTGTCAAAAAACGCATCACACAGTATCATAAATATACTTTTTGCAATTGCTATAATGTCTCTCAAATTAAACAGAAATACACAGGTATTCAAAAAACTATTATCATTAATAATGATGCAATAATTATTTTGTTAATTGTTAATAACAAACGACTTTAGACTAATACTTTTGGTAATAACATTGTTATTCGTATTTAAAAAGAAAAGCGTTAATTATCTAAAAGTAAAATGAGATTTGACAATAATCAAATTTTAACATTTGCAATTTTTCATTTAAGATTATTTGAATAGAATTTACACACTGCAAACTAAAGTTATAGAAATACATTAGTTAGTTATGAATGAAAATCGGTTTTAATAGCTGTTTTATTTATACTACTGAAGTTTTGTACTTTCTGCTTATAGTTTCATATTGAGTTGTGAACTACAAAGTAACACATGTCGCTTTCCTAAAGATAATTCTAAATCAAATACGATATATTGTACTGGATTTAAAATTAATGGATTAATTTAAAATTTAATATACAGACAAAAAGAAATTTTGGAGCAGTAAAAGTCTTTTTTATTTTCCCAATCATTTTACATAACGTTACTGCACGTTTTATAATCAATAACATATAAAATTTGATATATTTAACATTTTTTGGTGTTTCTTTCAAACGAAAAATGGTAGTAAATTTTTAATGGCAATCAAAAAATAATTTTTTTTAAATTTCCGAATAGCTGAGGCCAGTAAAGCCTATTTTTTTTTTAAATTGCCCGAGTATTTGTATTTCAAATTATAGAAAAATAAAACTTAACCAGTTTTTACTGTTCATGATAGTATGCATGTTTTTACATCTATTAATTTCTGTATTATTTAAAGTATATCGTAATTAATAAAGTTCCCAAACTTCATAAACTAGCATACCTTCTAACTAAACCATTTTATTGATGCTATTAAAATATATTACAACTTTTAACAAATTACTAATTAAATTTCGAGAGTTCCGTAAGTATAAAAATTTTGAGAGATATTGATCTAGAAATGATTTTTCATTGTGAAAAGACATCACTAAAACTTTTACCCCTGCTCTACGTTTCAATGCTATTAATACACGACATTTTATTACCAATGAGTAAAATTCAGCGATATTCCAAACTTATCAATACAGTTGTCTTCCACTTGAAAATTTATATTGGATCTGTTCTACGTAACTGCTTCACTTTCAAGCAATTTTTTATTATATATATTGCTGAATGCTGATCATTTGCAGTCAAGTCGTAAATTATAAAGAAAGGAAAACACAGGGTGCTAGAAACAGAGGGATCTGTGGTTTCGGAGTTGTGCAAAAATATAGAGGCCCGTTTAAACATTTAACTTCTGTGCACTCGGTTTTATAGACAGGAAAATATAGAAAAACTGAATTCTTTGAATCTAATTTTGTATGTCATTTTTTTAAAATTTTGTGCGAAATTTATGGAGAAATTCAAAAATTTATCTTGGCACAATTTTTTTTCAGTTTGTGCCAAGAATAATTCACTTGGCGAACTTCTTAATATAGTGCAACCAATTTTCCTTTCCCTTCCATTATGCCGGAGCGAAAAAAAAGACACTGCTGTCCTACCATCGGTCCATTGTGCATGACCAGAAAAAAAGTCACATCGTTTCTACTTTCAAATAATTTTAGCAAAGTGTTTAAACCATATTTGATGTTTTATCTCTTTCAAGAAATACGTCTCCCTTAAGATGATGGTAAAAATCTTATAGATTCAAAACTTTTTGGAAGAATTTATAAAAATTATTCAAAAATACAAATTTTAAAAATAAATCATAAAAATGGGTGAATTTTATTTGGAATGAACCTGAATTTCGAAATGTGGAAGGAAGAATCAAATAAGTTTAATAAAAAAAGAGAGATTAATAAATATATACCAGACTCAATTAACATTGAGGAACTAAAATTTTGAGAGCTATTTTTTTAAAAAAAACTACTCGTGCGATTTTTACAAAACTTGGTAGTTTGGCGTAATTTGAGTCGTAAAATTGAAATATGGAAAACAATTGGTATGTTATTGGTATTTGTTGGTTTCAGAAAAAGTCGGATTTTGTGTCAAAATACCTATATTAAAGCAATGCTATATATAAATCTAATACATATCCTAAGTCGTGCTTTCGAGACACGAAAAACGTAAGTTGAATTTGTCAATCGACCCAGTAGAACGGGAGATATTGAACTTCCCCATTTTTTTTCCCGCAGTGTACATCCATGTACATATATTGGTAACTACTGACTTACACTAAATAACAGGCTCTCACTGTAACTCCATTCCAATTTTTTTACCCAGTATATTGATACTGAACGAGACCTAAAATCATCTTTGTTTTACAATATATCTTCTCTTATGACCTCTAACACACCCGCTTACCTTTGCCTTCGCATTTAACGTCGTTCTCCCCTTTTTAACCGCATTTGGGATGACACTATATAGTAGCTTCTTTAATCCTATGTCCAAGCTATGAACATCATCATAAATAACCACGAGTAAATGACGGGTGCTCATTCCCTTGGTGATAGGCTCTAAGCAACAGTGAGATCAGTACAACTGCCTTCATTTTCGTCCAAGGTTTGGTTGAGAACATACCAGTGGTTGAAAAAACCTGAGGACCATGGAAGATTGTATCTTTCTATCCCATCAATCTTCCAAACTAATACTTTTTTTCCTTAAACGTTCTGCATCGATGTCGTGACCGAGATTTGAATCAGAATCTGTCGTTAGCCCTGCAGCTCATCTCTCCTCATTATCACTCAATTGGGTAGTCTTTAATAACATAGAATACAGTGGACAATTTAGTGTACAATTTTCCTATTTATCTCACCAAAGAAAAAATATTTTTGCATTTAAGTTAGTAAAACTATACTGCTGTGTGAATTATTCAAAACTTTAGACAAAATCAAAGTGCTTAAATAGTTAACAGAAGTTTACATTTAAGTATTTTAATACGGTTTAAAACTTTCTCTAGTCCCATTTACAGAGCAGATTTGTTCCATATACAAATACCTATTACTACATTATTCTATACAGTTTTGTTTCATAAGGCAAAGTGTTTCAACAAAGGTTTTTATCCGAAACTATTTTGACTTAAATATGTATAAATGTACACTTACCTCAGCAATGCATTTCACTGCAATCAACCAGAGTACTAAGCAATGAAGCATTATATTCTCTCGGAAATGTTTCTAAAATAATAAACTAAAGTACTTTTCCTCTAGTCTTCAATCTCAACCAACAAACAACTGATTACAGTTACGAATATTTTTATACCGTCTTCCAGTTCGTCTTTCACGTATACTTCGCCCTCTCTTATTTCAAAACAAGTATTTAGAAAACGTAATATCCCAATGGATATTATAACACTAATATTTGAGTTAAATGAATGAAAAAGTGAAGCCTTTTTTTATTTGATGTTGAAATATCCAACTTCCTTTCGTAAAGCAAGAAGTTTGCGAAATAAGATGGAAACACCCTTCTACGTAACGCTCTAATTATACTCGCGCGATATTTGTAATAGAACTGATAACTGTTGAAGTTTCATAAATCAGAGAAATAAATCACATGCATATATGAATGGGATGAAAAGAGAACTCTCAGAATTGTACTTTGTTTCATGCTTAAAACGATGTGATGATCCGGATGCTACCCGCATCATTTCTTAGATGTAAAAAAGAAATCTTTTTGGAGCTGATTGAAAGTCAACTCTTTTTTAATCTCTGTCTGATATGGTAAGGGTCCCTGGGCTTAGATCATTATGTTTTACTTAACGACTCTCTCTATTTATGTAAGGAATATGATACGTATGTCGGTACCTTCATCATTTGCAATGAAAATATTGAAGGAATTTTACCCTAAAATTTTTAATGATTTTCATGAATATCTGACTGAAATTTTATCTCTTCATAAGAATTCATAAAAATTCTTTAATTTGAAATGACTCAATTTTATGAATAACTTAACTTAAAAATTTAGGGCAAGAAACTGCAATTGAAACTACTTGAAATATTTTTGCAGTAATTGTTTGTACGTCGATTACACACCAGTATTCAGTTACGCGTTAATATTTCAACATAACATGTAAAAGCTGAGATACAAAACCATCAAGATAACTGATTTTTCTCTTTACGAGAAATGTATTCATCAACGGTTGATTAGCATTAAATTTGAAATAAAAATCATATTTATTGGTTATTCGGTTAATTTTTCATGTTTCTTACATCGAAAATATCTAATTGTCTGTGCAGAAAGACCCTGGAAGTTTTTAGTTTTATAGAAATTTTAAATCATAATTCTTTCTATCTGTATACTTAACAGGGCGAAATGACAGAGCAATTCTCCCTCGAACAGACATCATGCATTTCATAACGCAAATATGACGAAATACATGCGCAAGCTTTCATGCACGGCCACAAGTCTGGAATGATATTTTTTCAGATATAACCATACTTCAAAATAGTGATAATTACTGATTTCTGTTCTACACTATATGAAAAATTTCAACAACTGGAATTCAATTTTTAACAATTAGAGTTAATTTGAAAACAATTACACCATAATACACTGGTTATCATAAATTAAGGAAAAATCACAAAAATCACGATTACTGAAAAAGTTACATGTAGAATTTAATGAAATTTACCCACAATATACAACACATAGTAAGGTATCAAATAACATAAAAAGAAATTACCAAATATGGTAGTATAGAAATTAGCACATGTATAAAATGAACAAATCGAAGGTGTCAGTTTGGCATAGGAAAAGTACCTTCAATATGGAATATGACCACCTCTAGAAGCATACATAGCACATACAGCGATGTGTGATGCTTTCAATTATGCAGGTCTATCAGTAGCATAGGAAGCGAGAGCCATTGCTCTTGCCAAAGCAGTTGCAAGCGCGACAAAGGGTCTAAGGGGGCGGATTGAAGAGCAGCTAGACGTCTCCCTAAAGCATTTCCCAAACGTCCTTCGATAAGGATTCAAGTCCGGGATCGAGCTGGCCACTCCATGCGCATAATTGTTTCCTGTTGAAGATAATCATCTACGATGCGAACCCTGTGTGGTCTTGAGTTGTCGTCCTGTAACAGTAAAGCATCACCTATTGCCCCAGCATATGGGCGCACATAAACATCAAGAATGTCATCTCTATAAATCTGAGCATTCACGGTTCCCCTTGGAAAGACATGGAGGTCTGTGCGTCCACCCAAAGAGATGGCACCCAAACACAGACACTGCTCCTCCCGTATGTATCTCTTTCACGGATGTTTGACAGATGATAACGAGTTCTAGGTTCTCTCCATATCAAATAACGCCTACTATCGCTTTCTAGACTAAACCTGGACTCATACGTAAAGAGAACCGCCCCCCATTGATCAAGCGTCCAGTGGGCATGTGTTCGTGCCCACTGCAAACGGTCCCTCCTATGGCGTGACGTGAGCGGCACACAAATAGCTGGTCGCCTCGCATACAGACCACCTTCGTGAAGCCTTCTATCACAGTTGGCGTTCACACGAACCTTCCGGTGGCTGCAGCAAGGGAGGATCTAAGAAGAGTCAGAGTAGCGGTTCTATTCCTGCATGCACATGATGTCAAATATCGGTCATCGGCGCTCGTCGTAGCAGTTGGCCGTCCTTGGCTGAGCCTCCTAGATGTCGAATCTGTGGTTTGAAATTGCCTCCAAAGTCTATAAACCACGGAAGGACTCACATTTAGCCATCTGGCCACTTCTATTTGACTTTGTCCTGCCTCTAGTCTCCCAATGTCTCTCCATCTGCAGGCAAATGATGCCTGGAGGTCATTTTACGAATTAGCTATCTCAGATTTCTGATGTCACCGTCACAGTGAAATATGTGGGCTTGCTCTCAATCATGGACTTTTATGCTCGTCGCAGATGACGTATTCGGAAAGCAGCGCCACTAATTTGCATATCGGAGTTTTACTCAGCTACTCTTACTTGGCAACATATTCAAATTTTACACGGTTTGGCTTATTTTTATAGGAGTTATCACTATTTTTGTGATTTTTCCTTAATTTATGATAACCAGTGTACATTTAGACATTCGAAGTAGATGGTTCCTGTGTTACGCACTTCGAGAGATCTGCAATTGCTATGATTTGACGTATTATGTTCTTAATTCATAAGAAAGAAAATGATAATGCACATTACTTTATTCCATAATATTGATATCTAAATGCCACTTTACTGTGTAAATTTCATATGAAAATAGTGTTAAAGATAATGGTATCAATTGCCGGGCCGTTATTTACCACTCAGATTTATGTAGGCGCTCAGTTGCCTACATAAATATGAGTGGTAATCATCAGTCATGTCATAAATAATGTAGAAATTGCTTTTTAATTTGCATTTACTTACTTACGCATTAGTATTATTATTGCTATGAATTCCCACTTCATTTCCGGTTCCATCAGGAAAAAGTTGCTTTACAGCAGGGTCCTTGCAAACTTGACGTTCGATGTCTCGACTTTCCGTATAACTCGATAACTTTTTATGAACTTTTTAAAGTTATCTCTAGGTCAAACAGAGCAAATATTAAATGCAGTACGTGTAATTATTATTTATGCGTATGTGTTTCCTATTCTGTACAAAGATTTGAGTGTTCTTATTCTGTAATTTTTGCCGTCGCATTACGCCATTAATTCTTGGAACTGCCTAACAAATTTCAAGATATATTGTAATAGTTAGCAACGCTGTTTGCTTCTTTCGATGATACGAAGAAAGTCAGGTAGCGGCTTTCCGCTGGCTCACATTCCTTTTTGTTGTTGCGAAACGTTAGGTGAGGTGAGATGAGGTGAGTGAGAGATTATGGCGCAAAACCAAAGATGATTAGAGTGCGCCAAACACGTGATGGGGTGAGTACAATTGATGAAATTAAAATACAATAAATAAAAACAAGTAGACAAATGTATCAAATCCAGAGGATGAAGTCATATAAGAACAAGTTAAAACCACACATTTAAAATTCAAGATACAATCTTTAAAACAAATTACATTAGGTGATAAAAGCCAGTTTCTTTCAAATAATAAAATAAATTACAATTGACCTCTCTTCCGATTAAACGGTCGAGAGGTAAGTCACAGCTATTAAAATATTTCTGGCGAAGACTATTAAAACATGGACACTCAATTAAAATATGACGAACAGATAAACAAACATTACAATTAAAACACACAGGCTCATTTTCAGCTTTGAGAAGATAGTTATGTGTCACTCTAGTGTGACCAATTCTGAGGCGAGTCAAAAGAACTTCCTCCTTACGATTTTTGGTTGATTCCCAATGCTCAATTCTAGGTTTTACATGTCTTAACTTGTTTTGAAGCTGAACATCCCACATTTGCTGCCATCTTTTTTCCGGACTTTTCCCTTGATGACACAGCGGATGTATCTCTAAAAGGGATAAGGCGACTAGGACAGTTCATCAGCAGATTTGGCTGCAATATCTGCAAGCTCATTTCCCTTTTATTCCAGCATGTCCAGGAACCCAGCAGTACAGGACTTTCATATCCTCGAATCGTTAAATTTATATGAATTTTCAGGAACATCCACTACCACAGGATTCTGAGTGATTTGGAAAAGCTTCCAAAGATTTAAGAGCACTATACGAGTCTGTATTAAACTATGAACGTTCTTGTGGCAGCAGAGCTTCGAGATGTACAAAAGAGCATAATATATTGCAGTTAGTTTAGATGTTAGGACTGAGCAAGCATGGTGTAGGCATCTGCCCTTAATGTAATCTTCAAATACAAAAGCCATCCCGACATGATCATTTGACTTTGATCCGTCTGTAACTGCTATATCTGTGCCTGTGCTCAGCGAAGAGTTCTCTGTAAACGATCTCGTTAGTGCTCGCCTTCACGTGATGTTTGAAAACATCAAGGAGCTGAATCCGTGAAGTTTCCCAAGGTGGAATTTCAAAATCCTGTACTGCTTGGGGGTGCATATCAGAGAGGGAAAGTTTCTCAATGACAGGGCGAACTCTTAAAGGAAAAGTAGGAACAGAGGATGGACGTGTTTCAAATAGTGAGTTACACTCATTATCAAGTAAGCACAGCTTATTGGGATGTTCAGGTTGGGATAAAATATTAAAATATTGTAAAAGGGACAATTGCTCACGCCTCAGATAAAGTGATGGTTCGTTAGAGTCAACATATAGGCTCTGTACAGGAGAAGTCCTGAAAGCTCCTGAACAAATCCGCAAACCTTGATGGTGAACAGGATCCAGTTTTAACAAAACAGATGAGCGAGCGGATCCATAAACAACTGAGCCATAGTCCAGTCTAGAGCGGATAAGCGCTCTGTAAATGCGAAGCATGGAGCAACGCTCTGCAGCCCAGGAGGTGTTCGCCAACACTTTTAAAATATTTAGTGTTTTTAGACACTTCTTTCTCAGGTTTAAAACATGGAAAAGGAAAGTCAATTTCTGGTCGAACGTCACTCCTAAAAATTTTACTTCGGGCGCAACTGGAATAATTGTACCATTTAGATATAACTCAGGTTCAGGATGGAGACCTCGCTTCCTACAAAAGTGCACGCACACAGTTTTCTGTTTCGAAAAAGTAAATCCCTGTTTGTTTGACCATTCTTGGATCTTATTCAGAGCCATCTGCAATTGCCTCTCTATGTATCTCATGTCTGCTCCTCGACAGCTAATC